AGACCCTCAGGAAAGGGTTCTCCTTACAACTATCAGCTCTCTCACCCAGTGAGACCATTGCCCCATGGACCCTGCCTCACAATCTCACACCAGGACCACCACCCAAAGCACCCTTGGTGTTTAAACCAGCACAGGACAGTTCTGGGGTTTCCATGAAAAGAGCCCTCATACCGCCCTCATCCTGTCATGGTGTCTGTCATTCTGTGTAGGATCAAAAACAAATGTGTTTTTCTCAGAGGGGAGGGATGATCCATTGGCAATTCCCATCTTAGAGTTTCTTGCTCCGAAACTTAAAAAGAGAGCATGTCTTTCAAATGGCATATGGTGTGTGTGTGTGTGTGTGTGTGTGTGTGTTTCCCTCCTGCTGGAAGGACATGATTTAGTTTGGATTTTTTTTTTTTTGAGGAAAAAAAAAAGCCCACAATAAAAACACTGTGTGGAAGGGTCTGATTCAATATGTCACTTGTTCTTACGTTTGTCTTCTTGATCCTTGGGTGCTGATGGGGCCTCTGGCTATAGTGATTTCTCTTGAGTGTGAAGGTAGCATTTCCTCCTCCTCTGCCCAGCATTCACTTCTGGTAGCTTCCACTAGGGGCATGAGGGGGCAGCCTATGCTGGTTTGAAACATCCTGAGGCCTCAGATGAGCCAGTGCTAACCCCTCACCTTCAGTTCAGCTTGAGTGAAAAGTTGGTCTCCAGTGTGTGTGTGTGTGTGTGTGTGTGTGTGTGTGTGAGGTGACTATAACTGGGACTGGTGAGATTTAGAAGAGCCGGTGGGTCACTGAAACATATAATGCCATAAGTTGAGGTGTTACCTGCTCCCTGAGCCTTTGTCCATGCCTGGTTCAGGGATCCCAGGGGAAGCCTCAGGGTGTCACTGTCTGCAGCCAAGTGACCATTCACAGACAGCAGGACTGTGCTGTCAGGAAGGGACTCTAAGTCCACACCTTGTAGTACAGAGGGCTAATGTGGGACCCAGGGCAGAGACATAATTTCCCTAAAGTCCCATGGCCATCTAGTGACGAGGCCAGTCTGGAATTCCACGTAGCAAGTTCTTGATACACAGCAGTGAACGAATGTGTGCATGCGTTTCGGAGTCAATGAGTGCAGGCTGACTCCTGTGCCGACTGCTGTTGCTGTGAGTGGGTGGGTCTCCCTCTGAGGCTGTGCAGAGGGGCCTGGGTCTACGGTCCCTGGGTTTGACCCCTTCTGCTTCCCTAACCTGCTGGCTCTGCCTGTCTGTGTGGGGCGATTGGCTGAGGGTCTAGGATGTATAGGATTTTGGCTATGCTCAGAGAGGCTATGTGAGGCATCTTGGGGGAGGCAGGGAAATTGGCCAGCTGTTGCCCAGTGTTTGCTCACCTGGAAGCAGAGTTACATCACCCTGAGCATCAGGGTCCCGCCGCAGTAGAGGAAGGCAGCCAGCTGCAACAGCACCCTCTGAGTGGCTGTCTGTCACAGCTCTTTCTGGAAGCCTTGCCCTCCACCAGCGTGTGCACATGCACCCCCATGTGATAATGCACATGCAACATGCGGGCACACTCAACACATATACACATGTGCCCATATGCAGACAGCCCACATATATGTGCCATGTGTGTATGTGTACCTGTACATATACTGTCTCCCTGCCATACGCACACACACACACACACACACACACACACACGCACACACACAGAGCGCAGTCCTGTGGGGTGGCAGGGCCAGCTCAGCAGTCCCTCATTCAGGTTTAGACTCTTGAGACCTGTCTGGAGTTGCCTGAATCCCAGCTCCTGAGCAGAATGACCCCTCAGCTCCCAGCTGGCCTCGGGTGATCTGGGCTCTCTGATGCAGTGGGCCACCCTCTTCATCCTCTGTTAGAGCAACACTGGGGAGAAGAGGGGTACACAGGGGAGCAGGCTCTTGGGCATGGGAAGGCCAGGAACCCTGCAGCCTCCTGGGGTTGTAAGGCACCAAGAACAGGCTGTGCTGTGTGTGGTTGGAAACTGCAGTATAAACTCAAGGTGGGGACAGGAGGACCCTGGAGATCACCTGACACTGTGGGACTGCCTCGGAGTATTCTTGGTTTCTCCTCCTGGCTCTGTTAGTTTTTAGCCTTGTAACTTTGGGCATGACCTTGAGTCACCCTTGGCCTCCTCCATGTGTGCATCTGTCAAGTGGGCACAGTAATACCTGTCTGGGCTGCTTCAGGAGGCTTCTGGTGGTGCAGGGAAACACTCAGAAATACTGCACATTCAAAAACAATGTTTTGTTAGCAAAACTGCAATCTGGCTTTTCTTGTCATGTTTTGTTTTTAAAGGCACTTTCCTGAGCAGGATGTATAACTCAGTGGCAAAGTGCTTGCCTAGCATGTGTGAGACCCTGGGCTCCATCCCAGCGCTGGGATCAAAAGACACTTTCCTATACAATTAGAAAAGTGAACGCTGTTTTTCTGCTGGCTCTTTGGGATGTGGGAAAGTCTGGGCATTTTCCATCCATAGGCAGGCCAGCCTGGGGCCCTCAGCCTCCCTTAGAGGTCGCTGTGAGTGTGAATGGCTTATCCCTTTGCCTCTGTGCCATATATTCCTAGTTTGATATGGATTCCAGAAGCTCCAAATATCAGTGCTAATTGTCATTGTCAGGAGAGCACCTGTTGAGTGTTCCTTATCTGCACAGGTTCTGGTTAAGCCTCTCCTCCACATGAACTGCTTGTATCTTCACAGCAACAACGTAATAGTCACTGTTACCATTTGTAGAGGCACAGAGACTCAGAGAGGTACAGACATTTGACCCAAACCTGCAGCTGGCAAGCATCTCTGAGTCCCAGAGGCCACCATACTCAAGAGCACTTGGCCGGGGCTGGGGATTTAGCTCAGCGGCAAAAGCGCCTGCCTGGCAAGCGCAAGGTCGTGAGTTCGGTTCCCGGTACCAGAGAAAAACCAAAAAAAAAAAAAAAAAAAAGAGCACTTGGCCATCCTGTCTCATCCACCTGTTAAGAGGTCTGGGGCCCGGGAAAAAGGTGGTCATGCCGCCGTCGGCAGCTCCAGAAGGGCAGCCAGGCTAGAGGGTGGGTTGAGTGCCTACCATCCTGTCTGCCAGCCCGTTCCTCTTTGAAGCTGGATTTGGCAAATGGATTTCATCAGAGGAAGATTTGCTTTCTTTTTAGTCCCTATAGAAGTGCCATAATTTGGACTTATGAAGATAAAATTGAATATGTACAAATTAAAGTTAAGGTTTTGGGGGTAAAGTTTCCTCCCACTGAGAAATCATCATGTCCAAGCCGAGGGTGGGTTGGCAGATGAGTGGATAAACAAAATGTGATCCAGGCAGTCCGTGGAATCGCATTCTGTCTGACGAAGGAAGGAAGTTGTGATACACGCCACAGCTTGGGTGAACCTGGAGTACAGATGTATGCTAAGTGAATAAGCCGGACAAGTACTATAGGATTCCACCCCGAGAGCACAGAGTGGAATAGTGGATGTCATGGAATGGGATGCATTCCGCTGGCAGTGATGAAAAAGGTCTGAAATGGTTGATGGCGCAATGTTACTGTGCATAATGCTGTTCAACTGTGTGCTTAAACGTGCTTAAAATGAGCTGATGTGGTCGAGCACACCTGTAATCCCAGCTACTTGTGAGGCTGAGACAGGAGGTTTGCAAGTTCAAGGCTAGCCTGGGCAATTTAGCAAGACCCTGTCTCAAAATAAAAAAGAGCCGGGGGTAGAGAGGCTCCCAGCATGTGTAGAGCCTTGGGTTTGAGCTCTAGTACTGCCAAAAAATAGAAAGGTTTAAATGGTAAATTTTATATTTGGTATGTTTTACTACAATACAAAAAAAGAAAGCTCGTAGTATTTACAGTCCAGGGTTAGAATCTCCAAGAATGGTACCCTTTATTTATTTAGTATTTTTTTTTTTTTTGAGACAGCTGATCACTATTTAGTTTGGGCTGGCTTTGAACGCACTGTAGTCGATAGCAGTTCTCCTGCCCCAGCCTCCTGAGTGCTGGATTACAGATGTGCTCACCACACGCAGCAAGGTAGTCTTATTTTAATGCATTTTCTAGTAAGCCTCACCATCAGCTAACCTGGATGAATGTAAAAAACAAACACATTGTATCTTTCAGTTATTTAGAAAGCCAGACTCGACACTGCTTCCCCCATCCTGTGGCCTGCAGACTGAGGGAGAGTTGATTGAGAACTCTCCACTTCTTAGGCTTTTTCCCAGTCTAACTACTTTTTAAAGAGCCCTGTTTTCTAAAGCCTATAATTATGTTTGCCTCCAGGGTACTCAGGCATTTTTTTTAATAAGCAAAGAGCATCCTACAATTATCACGATGATTTGTTGAAAGCAGGCCAAATGGAGACAGGAGGCTGACTCAGCTCTGGAAACTGACACGCACGTGTTGGCGTTTTCAGTCCTGGAGGCGCTGCCAGCGTGCGCAGGGTCCATAATTAATATTAAGAGCTGGAGAATTAACAGATCACATAGGTGTCCGCTCAAAGCGGCCCACGAGACAGAACGGGCAGTTTGGTGGGATTTGGGCTCCCTGAGGCTGCCAGGCCCTGCCTTCGCAGATGGCTCTGGGTAAACATCTCCAGCCTGGGTACACCACTGCTCCCGACACTGTTACCTGGTGCTGCTGGAGCCACACGCAGCCGAGGCTGGGGTGGGTAGAAGCCAGCAGAGTTGGAGCCTGTCAGCTCTGTCGGCCCTGATTTGCGGGCTGAGCCTGGTTTCATGGCCCTGCCTGTAATCTCCCTGAGTTCAAAGAGCGCTTAGCTGCTTGTCTTTGTCAAGAGCGCGGTTGGGGATCTTTTATGTGGAAGATGTAGGATTCTCGGGCTGACTTTGATTATTTATTCATTCCCCTTCGTGGGTGTGTGATAGCCCAGGCACTGCAGAGCCCCTTGTCCTGGCTACTCTTGCTCAGAAATTCATCGAGCTTAAAGCCCTTTGAAAATTGCTTTTTGAGGGAGGGGAAAGTTTTTGAAGTTTCTCTTCTTTCTCCCCCTGTGCAGTGCCGCAGCACCTCTTGCCACCGTTCCATGCACCCTTGCCGATTGACATGCGACACCAGGAGGGAAGGTACCATTACGAGCCTCACTCTGTCCACAGCGTACATGGGTAAGTCCTGCCCTGTGCTTGACCTCACCTGTTACCGGGGAGGCCCACCAGCAGCCTTGGCCACTCTGCCTCCCCCATCTGTCTTTTTGGAGTCTCTGGTATGTGTTGTCCCAAGCAAGCGGGCACACACTGAGCAGGCACCCCCAGGAGTGCGAGAGTTTGTGACCTGTGCACACCAGCCACACCCCCGTTCCTCCTAAGGACGCTTGGCTCACTTCCTTTGCCACTTCTAGGGTGCTAGGCTCCCTGGGGGAGTCCATATGAGATTGCAGGATCTTTACCTGCCCATGAAGCGAATCCCATTCAGACCCAAGAAACTGTTAAGGAAGATGTCCTTCGGTATATGCTGTTCCAGCAGAGTAACTCAGAGAGACCCTTTTCCTATCTCAAGGGCCCCTATATGGTATGGTCACCCTCTCTAAGGACTTGAACATGAAGTGATGCTAACTTTCTTATCAGGACACCTGCGATTGCTTGTAGGGCCCACCCAGCTACCTAGGATCATTTCTCCTTCTTCATATTCTGAACATAACCACCTCTGCAATGTACCTTTGCCATTAAAAGAACACTCACAGGTTCCAGGGATTAGGATGAGAACCCTCTTGGGATCCATCTTCGGCTCCTTGGAGGACTCTGGCTTCTCCCATAGACTACAACAAGGCACGCTGATAATCCGCTCAGGTCCACACTGGAGCCTGGTGCCCCATCAGTTAACCTCCCTGATTGCCCTGGGAGATGGGGTGGAGGCTCAGGCTTGCAGCTATAGACGTGGATGCTCAGAGAGACGCAATGGCTTCTGCAGGTTGCTCGGGCCAAGTGGACCTGCTGGCTTCTGTGAAGGCTGAGGAGGCCAGACTCTCAGGCACAGCTGTGCTCCCCAGCCAAGACAGGATTCCTCCGCTCACTCCCCACTGAAAGGTAGCAGCATGGGGTCATAGAGCAGTGTCCTGCTGCGGTGGACTTCAGCAGCTTCACAGTGTCCTCGGGACTATCAGTTCCCACCAGGCCAAAGGGGGATGTGGCAAGGGCTTCTGGGATGGCCTTGGGCTATGAAAATCCCGCTGCTTTTCCTGTCTGCACCCAGTGGGAACCAGGACAAAACCTCTGTGAAAAATGGCACCGTGGCTGCGGCTTCTGTGATTAATGTGGTTGCAGCCCACTGGAGCACCCCGATCCATCAAGCCCTCGGCGTAGCCTGCTCTCCTTGCCGGCACCAAATGTGTCTCATTACACAAATGTTGCACAGCAAATGAGGTGCAGTGTCATCTCTTGTCAGCAGAATCTAAGCCTGTGCCTGCTGCTTGAGTCACAGGGCCACGTTGCACGGCTTGCCCATGAGTGCACCTGACAGTTCCAGGATAGAGCACCTGGTGTGTGCAAGGTGTGGGCTGACATCCCCTGACACCCCCCACTCCCTGTGGTACCTCAGTCAAGGTACAGTAGCTATAGAGCTGCCATTGTTTCAGCCCTGCCTTGCTGTCTACACTTGAACCCAGTGTGGAACACACAGCTATGGTAGGGCTGATGGATGTGAATCAACAAACCTCGGTCTTCTCATCAGTAAAGGAGCTGTCCATTGACATATTCCAGATAACATGGTCTACAGTTATATGAGAATGAAATAGGACAGTGTGGGCAATGCATATAGAGTCATTTGGAAGCACTCAGTAGGTGTTAGCTATTGTTATGTGTTGAAGAAGGCAGTTTATTGCAGGCCAAAGGACATGTGTGGCAGGCTGTGGCACTTCCTCAGGAAACTGTCCGGTTGGACTATCAGTGTCCCACTGTGGCACTGGAAGATGGGAAATGGAGCTGAAAAGGTACTGTTGAGATAGGAGAAAGGAAATCTTCTCCCCAGCGGAAGAATCTCGATTTCCTCCTTTGCCATCTAGGAGTGGAAGGGATGGTCAATTTATTTTCTAGGGAGCTGCAGGATTGTCAGGAGATGGGCAGGAAGCGTGGCGTATAGACCTGCCAGTGTATCCTAGTGGCTCTGGCAGAAGCGGAGCCGTGGCAGGCTAACTGCTCATAGGGAGAGGCAGAGCATGGAGTTTAGTGTGGGACACCACGTACTCTACCCCAGCTGGATGGCTTCCCTACACATCCACGCCTTGCCCCTCTGCAGAAAGACCTTTCCTAGTCATCTTAAGGTGCAAGCCCACACCAGGGCTCACATAGCTTCCTGATGCCCATGTGGCTCCAGAAAAAGAACTGGTCGTGTGTGGACCCATAGTACAGCATCTTTGGTATGTGATGGGGCCACAAGTGAGTCAGGAATCTCTTGTGAGTCCCATGAGGACATGTTGCTGGGTCTCCAAGAGCCTGTACCAAGGGCAAGAAGAAAAGGCTAGCTGTAAATGTGGTCAAGCACCACCTGCAACCCCTCCATAGTCTGTGGTGCTAATGGGAGAGAGAAGCATGTTGGATCACTCCTGGCTCTGCCTCTTGGAAATAGTCTTGCCAAGGTGTTGTGGGGAACATGGCTGAGCATGGTGTAGGAGGGTCCCCAGCGAGAGACCTCCATGTCATTGAAATGAGGAGTCCAGGCTGATGTAGGCTAGGATTAACACGTGACCTAGCAGGTAGGAAGAGGTCATACTCCTGGTTTAGGAAGCTGGATGGACCTCAACTCTCAGGGTTCCTTGCTGGGTGCATCTCTGCCCTGCCAGCTTTGGGGCTTCCAAGAAAACCAAATCCAACAGCCTGCTGCTTATAGAAAATGTGCCATGCAGCAGCTCCCAAGTTTGACTACAAATCTGAACAGCCTGGTTGTACCTTAAAGATGCCATTCATACCCTGGCCCAAGATGTTCCAGTTCTTTCAGACAAGGGTGAGGGCTGAGGATCTGTTTATTTACAGGTACCCACAGCCCAGGGTTTGGGAGTCACTGTAGGCCACACTGCTTATTTGAGACCCAGGGAAAAACCCAGAGCTGTGTGCTGGCTTCCTGGAGTTGTAGGGCTCACGTGTCACATCTATCACTGATAACATTCGGTTTCAGTGGGTGTCTTTGTCCCAGTCACAGATGAGGCCCTCCACATTGGCCTGAATCTCTTCATAGCTCAGCTTGCAGAAATCAGGGAGCATATAGGGTGGGAATAGCCGCAGCAGCACTGTGCCCTCCTCTCTTCTGTGATCTGGCTGCATCCCTGATCTCTGACGACCCTGACACCTCCCAGGATTCTAGACCAGATCCCTGCTAACTGCTCATGGCAGCTCCCTTGATCCTGAGCTGTACTGGGCTTGTATGGCATTGGCAGTCACAACCCAAGGCTACCTGCTGGACAGAGATTGAACAGCGATCTTGCAAGGGACAGATGGCTCTGGGTTGTAGCTATCAACTTACATAAAGTGAGCATACTGGCCCACCAGGTATGTTAAGGAAACATTGGGAGCACCAGCTGTGGGCAATGGGGTCCTCAGCCTCCCGTCATCTGCACAGTTGGTCACATAGAGTGCACATTACCCAGAGGCCCCTGTAAGAGTAGTTGTGAACACCTGAGTCCATACTTGCCCCAGCAAGTGCATATTAATGGGGATGTTTAGCCCCAGGCTGCTATGTCTTACTTAAAGATGTGTCTTACTTGCTGTTGGTGGGATGAGCTCACGGACCTTCTCAGTCTGGGGTGACTTGAAGGTAACTTTTTCCAAGGTCCGTTTTCCATTAAGACTGCACCGAGTGTCAGGAGAGTAATAAACACAGCTGCCTGCTGAGCCCTTGATTCATTAACAACTGTCCTAGGCCCTCATGACTCTGTCCTCAGCTGTTTGTCAAGGATGCATGGTTGGGCAGGAAGAAATTTGGACATTTTCTTCTTGATTCCTGCCTCAGTACCCCAGTTCACAATTCATAGCGGGTTGGCTTTGTTTGTGTTTCTCAAGGAGCCTCCTCCTCCTTCAGCAAACATGCATGCTGCTTTTCAGAGCCTTGTGGACAGATGCAGGAGACTTCCAAAGGGCATGTCTATCTGGCTCCTAGGCTGAGATGCAAGGTGGCCCAGGGTCGCCCACTAGGGACCTCGTGCCTCTTCCTCCTGTAGGTCCGCCCACATTGCCATATTGTCCTCAAGAAATCACTCTTAAAATCTGGAGTGGCTGGCCACTGACTTCTTCAAAGCAATGAACAGCAGGCAGAGAGGGAGCACAGAGGGCCAGGTCTAGGCTGGGTGTTGGCAGCAGTCCTCCTCCTATGGCTGCTTGAGGCTGAGCAACACCGTAGCTCACTGTGGTGGGCACAACCCTGAGAGATCTGTCAGGCCCCTTGCCCAGTGTAAGCCCAAGGATGTCAGGCTGGCCCATCTCCTGGGCTTAGGTAGTGCCGCCACTCTGCAAGGACGGCAGCACTACGACTCACTGCTCCTAACTGGGAAGGCTGAGGAAGCAAAGGCTGACTGCCTGTCCAGCAGTGCCTTCCTAGTAGGCAGCACAGCTAGGATTTGAACCCTGGGCAGTGTGGCCGTAGAGGGCCGCTCTTACTGCCTTCTCCCCCACCTCTAAGGGCTTTGTCTTCCAAGCATCAGGAACGCACGTGGCTGCATGGGACAGGCGCTCATTTATAATGAAATGTGGCCTGTAAAAGTTTAATGGGGAGCGTGTCTGATAAGCTGACCTGTTCTTTGATCTTGCTGCACACCAGCTCCTCCAGAAGGGGAGCTGCCTGGCTCCAGGCCGCAGAGAGCCGGTGTGGTCAGCTAAGAGCAGGGACCAATGAGGAGCCGGGAATCTAGGCATGATGTGGGGGAGGATCTGCGAGGGGGAACAGGGTGTGTGCATGGCTGTTTGGAAAGGCTGTGTCCGGAAGTCCTGCAGGGTGAGAAGGTGTCCCTCTTATCTTTCTTTTGCCTCTTGGGGATCTTGGGGACATTTCCTACCATATGCCTACAGGATAGAGGCAGAACTGGGTAGGACTGAGCTTTAAATACTTTCTGTACCATTTGTTCTCTTTATATTCTTGTGCTGGTTGATTCCCCACCAAGAGCCTCAGTATCCCTTTCTTTAAA